TCTCTCTCTCTCTCTCTCTCAAATAAATAAATACATTCTTTAAAAAAAGAGAGAATGCCTGGTCAAATGCTGCAGTGAAATGAAAACGACATGACAAACAAACCCACAAAAAAACAAGACCGTCTCCTACAAGCCACTTGTAATTTGGGGGTTTATTGCACAGTTTCATCTTTAGTTTCAGGTTGCCCATTTTCTAGCGGCAGAGATATCAGAAAAACATCGCTGCACCTGTTGTGAAGTCTCAGCTACGGCTGGAGATAGACACAGACAAACACATATAGAGTATCATCCCAATTTTAGCATATGTGCTATTGAAGTGAGCACATGTACATATAAAGTATCATCCAAGTTTAGTGCGTCCTGATAAGTTAAAACAGCGTCATATATAGACACAGAATATTTCAAAGTGGGAGGACTCCGAAGAGGTCACCTGGCAAAGCCCTCCATCCTACTCGTCACCCCCTGGCCAAGAGACCAAAGTTCGGGCAGCTCCAGTGACAAAGTTGCTCACCTGGCTTTCAGAGGCAGCTGGCCTCTGTGACCAGCTTCTATTCAACAAGGGTCTTTTATAAAACAAGGGGAAATCCGCCCTCCTGGTACCTGCCAGCCACTGGGGGCTACTTCCTTCCTCAGAGCAAGGGCTCTCCTTTGCCACCTGGGCCCCAGCCCTGACCCTAGAGGGACTGAAACTTCTACAGCCTCGAGCCAGAACCCTGTCTGAGCCTCTGCTGCACCTCTGACTGCTCCCTTCGAGGGCATGCATCCCTGAGCTTCGTTCTCTGGTTGGTCGGGGCTGCCCCACTATATTGCTCCGCTCCCACCCTGCCCACCCAGCAAGTACAAGGCTCCTGGGAAGCTGGGCCTCCGCGGGTCCACTGCAGTACCATCACTCTGCTTGCCAAAAGCCATTTGATGCAGCAGGTAAGCAGGCAGTTAGAGAAGGTGCATTGGGTTTCTGAGAGGCACCAGTCTAGCTAAAGCAGAAATAGGCTCTAACTTAATAATCTGCTCATCACACACAGTAAGAGACACCCTGACTTATTCAAAGACACCGTGGGCGGTGCAGGGGATGAATAAGCATGATTCACTGCCACTCTGGCACCCGGGGCACGAGGAATAATAAAACCCAAAGAATTGTAGCCGCCTGAGTAGTAAATTAAGAGATCCGGGGCTCAGCTAGACTCTAGACATCAATGTTACCATGGCGATAAAGGGCCCCAGCGTTCAGCAGCTATTATAGAGCAGGCATCTAATAGGCTAGTCTATGTCACAGCCAAAGCCCAAGGGGCTAGCAAAGAAGACCAATTAGCATATCCATTCATTAGGGGCCTCTGCACACTTCTTCTTTTAATTCCAATTAGTTGTTTGTTTGAACCAATGTCTCCTGCCTGCATTATGCTCATTAGTGCCTTTTAGCCACTGGAAATAGGCTTGAATCTCCACAAGGACCTCACAATTTCCTGAGCCTTCATTTTTACCCCCTAGGGGTCTAGGCTTATAGAGTCACAAACCCACGGCCCTCAGTCCCTCGAAATGAAAGCATCTCTCACTGTACAACTGTACTCGACAGATGGAAACTCTGCTCAGGAATGTGATGCGCTAAGGGTTCTTCCTGGAACCCAGTGAAGTAGGGATCTGGGGCCATTATCTGGACCATTCAGGTCAAGGAAAGCTTCTGGCCTTAGCCAGTGAGCCTGTTGGCTATGCCTGCTGGCCACTACTCAGAGGCTAGCTGTTCGGGAGGGGGAGCCTTGGGCACCCAGGACCATACTGGCATCAGCAAAGTCGGGCAGTAGCTGTTCCAGCCTGAAGGACTGCCCTTCGAGGTCCAACCTGCGCCCTGCCTATTCCGGGAAGCCTTCTCTGATCCCTGCAGCCCCAAATAAGTTCCCCCTCCTCTCCATACACTTTGAAGATGACACCCTACACGGGGCAGCATTCATGGGCAGCCTCAGGCCCTCGGCTGGCCTGGAGTTTTGGCACCCAGGATTCCAGAGTCCACAGGTCCCTAATGCCGGAAGGGTCTGAGGTTCTTGAGGGTGCCCAGCACTGCCTGAGTGACTCCAGGGGCAAAAAACTCTTAAGCTCCACTGCACGTGACCTCCCAGAGACTCCATGAACATTTAGCGAATCCCTAGGTAAGGAAAGCACACAGCTGCCCTTTGATGGCTCTGGGACACCCTCCCTCTCCGCACCCCACCTCTCGCCGCACATACACACCACTGCGGAAGTGACCCACCAGAACAGATGTCAGACACTAGCCCATCTTCATGGTGGAGGCAAAGATTCTCTGAAGAATGCTACCATCACTTCCCTCCTTTGGGAACAGGAGGACCCAGTCCATAGTTTTATAGTGCCCATCAGCACCCCAGTAACTGTGTGGTTTTACCAGCGCAGGCAATCAGGAGAGGAGGCTTAATAGAAGCAGCTGCTCACACCTGCACCCAAGGACTGGGCACAGTTTGAGAGACTGGAGTCATTTGTCGTTGAATCTGCTGTCAACGCCTCTCCTTGCCTCCATAGCCCCGTTCATTTGCCGATCTGCTGGCCACTTCTGGCTCCAGCCTGCTGCACTGTTTAGCAGATTGCTTTCCACACCCCCTAGAATTGGCAGGAATGGTTTCTCCTGTAGCTAGAGTCTTTTGAGTATGAATTCATACAGATTTCTGTCTTTGAGGTCCTATGGGATTTTGTTATTTTACCCCATCCAACAGCTGGCATTCCAGAAGGCAGCCTGAGTTATAGTCAAAATACACTGCAACTATACTAAGTGTATAGCAAGACCCCAAGTTATCCAGAAGGCTCGGGCGTGGGAGATTCTGGAGAAAGGAATATTTTGTTACCTGAGATCACTTTACTCCAAATCTCCTTTCGTCTTCCCCCTATTGGGGTTCCCCCTTTAGCTTTATTGAGATATATTGACATATAACATTGTCCAAGTTTAGGTGTACAAGGTGATTTGTTTCACTTCTACACTGCAAAATGATGATCACCATAGCGTTAGCTAACAAAACCATCACGTCACATATGTGCTATTTCCTTTTTATGGTAAGAACACTTAAAATCAACTCTCTTAGCAACTTTCAAGTGTCTAAGGCAGGACTGTTAACTATAGTCACCATGCTGTACATTAGCTCTCCCAGAAATTATTCATCTTACACCTGGAAGTTTATACCCTTTGACCAACATCTCCCCAATTCCCCACTGCCCAGCCCCTGGCAATCACCATGCTACTCTGTTTCTATGAATTTGGCTTTTTTAGAGTCCACATAAGTGAGAGCATTCAGTATTTGCCTTTTGCTGTCTGACTTACTTCACTTGGCATAACACCCTCAAGTTTCATCCATGTTGTCGATAATGGCAGGATTTCTTTCTTTCTCATGGCTAAATGATACTCCTCTGTGTGTGTGTGTGTGTGTGTGTCTCACACTTTCCTTATCCGTTCATCTACTGACAGACACTTAGGTTGCTTCCAGACCTTGCCCATTGTGAATAATGCTATTCCCCCTTCTTGTTTTTTGAAATCTTGCTTACATGACTGTGCTCTTTTCTACTTTAGGGAGATAAGACCAGTTAATCTATCATCTGGTTTTTGAAGCTTGCAAAGGGCCTCGGGATTCTCATATTTAACATTAGGAGTCACACAAAAGACTTAATTGGAGAAAGAGAGAGCTCAATATCTACTGAGATCAGGTTAACCCCTGGAATGTATTTTGCTTTTATTAAAATTCGAAAAGAGGAATGAGCTTTCTCTCTCTCTCTCTCTCTCTCTCTCTCTCTCTCTCTCTCTTTCTCTCTTTTATCAGTGGCCTCTTTCTCTTCAAATAAGGGTATGGTGAGGGGGAGGGACTCTGTTAGGGAACAGGCCTAATTAGTAACGTTCTAGTAAATGGAGTCTTTATTTTAAATTAACCACTATTGAAGCTGTCTTCATCAGAATAGCCTAGGCTTGGAATTATGAATAAGTCAATCTATCTAAGCTATTGTGCTGGTTTTCTTGGTTATGTATATGTCCAGAATCTCATTATTTGCAACATTCTCAGCCACCTGGGTATAATGGTAGTGGTGGTGGGGTGATTTGTTCACAAATTCCACTCAAGCTTTTTAGCCACCCAGGCTCTGGTGGGGTGGGCCGAACAGACCGAAAATGCTATATGCTGTTTTGGCTCTTTCTACTAATTTTTCTTTTGTTGGATCCCACTTTGACTTCAGGAGTTATATATGTCTGGGAAACTGACACTGCAAAGTTCTGGCCTGTTCCCTGCCCTGATGCTAAGGGATAAATATAGATCTCAACCACTACAGAAATGTGGCCAGGATTCCAAGGGGTGTGTGCGTGAGGGGCAGTGACTGATGGAGCCATTCTGTCATGTGGGCTAGAAAAAGGCTTCTTTATGTCCAAGACCCTCTTTGGGGAGGGGAGGGGTAAAGCACGAGCCTGGCCTCTAAAATCAGAATGCATAATCCACATTTCAAGGGGCTCCTACATTGACACAAATAAGGAATATTGTAGGTGGCTCGGTGTGTGTGTGGGGGGGGGGGAGAGCAAAGGGAATCTTTCCTGACACCCTAGATCCTTTTGCATGAGATCAGTCTTATGAAAAAAGAAAGTTATTCCCAGCCATGTCCCCTCACCCCCAACGCCCACCCACACCCCACCTCCTGCACATGCTGACACTCAGCTCTCAATGGAGAAGAACACGACCTAAGATTTCCATTGGGCCCATAGTACCTCGGGTGCTAGAGGAGGGCAGAGGGCGGGTGGAGACATGAGGTGAGGGGGGTGGTGAGTCGCTCACCCTCGTGACCCAGAATATCTCCCCCCTCCCTCTAATGATGAGCTTGCTTTTCCATAAGGGCTTTCCTTTGATTCAGGGAATGGGCCAACCAATGAGAAAGGGGCATGTTAGATTATTTTGGGGAAGGGCTCATGCCAGGAGGGTTCACTTTTACTAGGCGCCAAGTGTCCCCAGCAACCAGTGTCTCCTGTACCAGCAGAAGCTCCAGAACTCTCACCCCTCGCCTGCTGCCAAGGCTTGCCCACTGAACAGCCATGAGAAGGCAGCTCCGGTCCAGAAGGGCTCCAGCCTCTCCTTACGGTTATCGCTACAGACTTGTGAGTCCCGGGGAGCAGACTATCCTGCTGCCCCTTTTGAGTGGGGTGGGTCGGGGGTTGCATAGGTCTTGGCTGATGGCCGCTTCTCCTTAGCCTGGGCAGGAACAGTGAGGTTAAAGGAAGCCTATCATTTCAAGATCGAGCAGTGGCTCCTGGCACCCCCATTGGGCCCCAAACTGCTGCACTGAAGGAGGAAGCCCCTTTTCCCAGGGAACAAAGACAGGAAAGGGGAAGATGCCAAAGAACACGCGCCTTCTAAAATTTGGGGGATGAGGGCGGGGGGCGGTGTCTGGAATCTCAACAAACAGACCTTTTGGAGTCTGGGAGTAGAGGTTTCAGTCAGATAGCAGGAGATTTTACCAGGAGCCAGGGGAAGGGGAAGAAGGAGCGAAAGACGCTGCCCACCCAGCTGTCTCAGCTCCTTGGGGTGGGAGCGTCTTTGGAACCCAGCTGCTCTTTTTCTAAAGCAGAAATTCCAAACTATGGCGAAAATCATAGAATCATAGAAGCTGGGAGGAATCTTAGGCATCATCTCTCCAGAAGCCCTCATTATGTAAAGGAGGCGGCTGGGGCTCAGAGCGCAGGAGTGACTTGCAAGTTAGTAAAGAGCCACAGCGAGAACGCCAAGTTTCCTCACTTCTAATCCTGTGCTCTTTCTATTATATGTGCAGTAGGCAACTCCCTAGCCCTCTGATCCTACACCACCCGTTGCCAGCCCGCCCGCCACCCCACCCTGCCCCCCCCACATACACACGGGCACACACACGCCTGCACGCGTGCACACACACGCCCCTCTGCTGTCGCCATTTATCTCCAGGGTGCATTACAGATTTCTCTGAACCCACAGTTTCTTTGCATTTACTTTGCTCTAAATCGTTAATATATGCCACATGCAGTCCTGTTGTGGGGTGGGGGAGGGAGTGTAGTCTGAAATCTCCCCCAGAGAGGGCTGTGATCTGAGCCCCAGGAGGAAACAAAGCTTAATCCACTCTTCTCTGGAAATGGCTGCTTATATAACCAGGGAGTTAAGTAGAGACTGTCAACAGCCAGCAGAGGAAAACACAATCCTTCTAGCCCCACATCAACCTACAGTGGGCTTCCCTTAACTTCTCAGCCACACCGTGTAGAGTCTTTTTTTTTTCTCCCCACATTCCCAGAGTCCCTCCCAGCTTTCGGAGCAGTCACAACCTGTAGGGCACATAGAACTATTCCTTCCTTGGCTTCTTTTCTTTGTAATGTTGCTAAAGCGTTGTGTTCCATTTATTTGTCAAGTGCATCAGAGGAGCTTGCCCTTTATGGGAAATACTTGATTTTAAACGCGTGGGGGGTGATCTTGCCCTTTATAGGGAATACGTGATCAAATTTAAAAAAATTATGTAATGCAGTGATTAATTGTATGCTAATTTCTCTTTTAAAATTAACCAACCATTCAAATGTTTACAGAGCGTTATTCAATGCAGGGCACAAATTTATCCTTTGGGTCATACTGTTTGTTTATATGTTTATATGTTTGTATATTTAGAGTGCTCAAAATGGAGCCACCCTCTGCCCTTCAGACTCTTCCCTTTTAGGGCAACATGATGGCCCCAGCACACACCCACTACTATATTCCAGCACATTCACACACGCTATCACATGAGGGCACTGCCACTTTAGGAAACGGGCAAAAACAGACCCTCTCATTACCAGAGGATTCCCTACAGGATTCTGTTAAATAGTTGCACAAAAGTGCCTCTCTTGTACAATATGACGTTCTCCTATCTCTGGAATCAGAGGAGAGGGGAAAAGAATTTTTGAGATTCCTGAAGCTCAGGCAGTGTGAGAGCCATGGGGAAATTAGCTCGGAGAAGGTTAATTCTTCCCGGGAGGGTAAGGCTTTAATGACAAGCCATCTTTAATGGGATTATCATGAAAGCTCATCTACAAATAAGATCAGGCTGGGGCCCAGGCCAGCTGCCTCCCCTGTGGAGCAGAGGTGCAGGGCAGGCACGCAGGCAACAGGAAGAGAAAAGGAAGTTGTCCAGAAGATATAAAAGGACTATAAAACCGTTCCACCTCAAATTCTCCAAGCTCCCCAGTTGCAGTAGATTGTTTGGGGGCCGTGAGGATTACCCACCACAGTGCACAAGACTGCTGGAGTTAGGACGCCGAGCTTTGTGAGAGCAATTTCCCTGGTGCCCGGGTTCAGGTTTTAAGTTTGGCAGTTATCACCGGGGCTTGTTCAGTCTCCGCTGGTTAGCTAGCTGTGGGTCCCATGCTGGGGGGCTAGGGAAGATCAGTTCTGCCCCGTGGGTGCTCAGAGTGCAGCCTGGGAGGTCAAATGTGTACCTGTGTTCACACATGAGTGAAAGAGATTGAAGAGCATTTATTAGTCCATTCAACACTGAGTGATGCAGGTTATCCTCTTGAGCCTGGTACCATGAGTCCACGTCAGGGTCAGAAATCCTTGATTATGAACACCTGCAATCTCTCAGGAACACAGAATCGAACAGTGTTGTGCTCCATAAATCTGTTAACCACCTCGAGGCACTTGCGCTCAGTGTGACAGAGGAGAAATATCACGGTCCGGGGTAACAAGACACACAGGTTCTGAGGCTGTCAACTTGATCACAAACCTGCGGTGGGGCTGTAGTTATGGCCTGTCCCCTCTCTGGGCTTCAGATGGACAAGGGAATCTTCAAGGTTCCTGTCAGTTCTAATATGGTGTGTGATAGACAGCCATACACTGAGGGGCTCCCGGGTGGTTCAGTCAGTGAGGCGTCTGCCTTTGGTTCAGGTCATGGTCCTGGGGTCCTGGGATGGAGCCCTGCATCAGGGTGGGGCTGAGCAAGGAGCTGGGAGCCCGCTTCTCTCTCTCCTGCTCCCCCTGCTTGTGTTCTCTCTCTGCCAAATAAATAAATAAAGTCTTAAAAAAAAAAAGAAAGATGTACATTGAAACAAATTTGAGAGCAATTCAAGAGTGCTGATGATCCAGAGCGAGAGAGTGCTGGGCAGACTGAACGCTGAGAGCAGAGCCTTGTCATTCTGTGTCACTTTTACTGATCCTGAACAATCCAATTTTCTGAGCACCCCCTCCTCCATTAATGGCAGCATTTTTAGCTGAGTGTCCTCTAAACGGCCTTTGAGGAATCAGGCAGGGAGGGGGCAGCATGGAGCCCCTGGCCTCTGGCACTGGACACATCCAACCCCAACAGGTGCATAGGCCCCGCCGCTCTTCACATTTGGACAGCAGAGAGAAGGGAGGGTGGCCTCATTTTCTGCTGCTGCAGTGAGCCTTGGCAGACCCACAAAGAGCAAAGCTCCAACTCTCCTGCCTGGGGCTAGGAGGCATTTGAAATACGTCGTCGGTGAAGTCTGGGTTTCTCTTTTTTTGCTTAATTTTCTTAGAACCACTCAGAGAAGATTACTGTTTCAGATCTCAAGGGCTGCAATCAGTCAATCAACAAATATGTGCTGAGCACTCACTGCGTGCCTGGATTTTTGCCTAGGGTATAGGGTGGGGGTGGGGGTGGGGGAGACTCAAGGAGTATCAGTTGAGGTTCCAGACCCCTATGATTTGCTTCTGCTAGGAAAAGAGTCTAAGTTTTGAGGAGGGGTACAGCCTCTGGCCTCTCCTCCTGCTGTCCGTCCCAGGCTACTTTTGGCTACAACTTGGATGGTCAGGTTGAGCTCCTGCAAGTAAACAGGACAGACGAAAGAGCTGGCTTGGACTCAATTTGCCACGGTGGACTCTAGTCTGAAACAACCCCATCCTCCCTGCTGGGCTCAGCTCCGCCCTGACAAGCCAAAGTTAAGCAGGAGGTCGAGGCCCCAGGATGGAGTGGCGACATAGGCAGTCCTAGGGGAAGAACCTAAAGGCCTGCAGCTGAGAATAAAACTTACACCTCTGTGGAAAGAGTATTGGGTCAAAATGGGTCCTAGAGAGGCTATTTCCTCCAAAAGAGTGGAAAGAAAGAAAATGTGCTTCTTGTAACAATGGGTGTGTGTACAGGGAAGCGGAAATTTGAAGCATCTCCGAATATTGAGTCGTTTTCCATTGATTTTCGCTGGTGGGATGTGCCATTGGAAATTTTTCTCAAAAGGGGGACTGTGTTTTGTCACCATTCCAGGATGATCAAGATGAAGTGAACCAGAACTACTTAGCAGATGAAGAGGAAGAAGCTGAAGAAGAGGCTCGGGTGATGGTGGTACCCGATTTGGAGGAGGAGGAGGAGGAGGAGGAAGAGGAGGAGGAGGAAGAGGAGATAGAAGAGGAGGAAAAGGAGGAGGAAAAGGGTCAGGGTCAGCCAACAGGCAATGCCTGGTGGCAGAAATGGCAGATCGTGAACGAATACCTGTGGGACCCGGAGAAAAGGATGTCTCTGGCCCGAACAGGTCAGAGTTGGAGTAAGTCCCAGTTGTCCCAATGCCCCAGTCGGGTGTCCTTTGCTTTTGGCTTGGTGTCCAGGACTCCTTTACCATACGTTGGATGGGCTTGTCTGCAAACTTCTCTTAGATTTCACGTGAAGGGCTCAGTGCCTCGGGAAATGCCTGGACTGCGGGCAGATCCCTCTGGAAGAAACTCCAAAATAGGTAAACAAACTGGATTATGGAGCTGAAAGCCACTGGGCTCAACTTCATTTGTGATGCAGAGAGACAGTAAGAATGAGTTGAAAGAGCACAGGGGTTTTTTTTTGTTTTGTTTTGTTTTGTTTCGTTGTTTATTTATTTATTTTTGGTGTTTTAAGTCCCACCCCCGTCACTTTCTATCTGTGTGACCTTGGGCTCATCATTGACCCTCTCTGAGCCTCGGTTTTCCTCACCTGCCAAATGAGGGCAACAGTCCCTACCTTGTCTCTCCCCACATGATCAGCTTGAGGCCCCCATCAGATGCTCCAATTGTCAAGTTGAAAGCACAGTTGACCCTTGAACGACACAGGTTTGAATGGCACTGCTCCACACAGGCGGTTGGTTTGTTTGTTTTCTTCCTACAAACACAGCGTAGTGCTGTAAATATATTTTCTCTTCCACAAGATTTCCTTTTCTGTAGCTTACTTAATTGTAAGAAGACCATATATCATTGCATGCAACGTACCAAATACGAGTTAATTGACTATTTCTGTAACCGGGAAGGCTTCTGGTCAATAGTTGGCTATTACTAGTTAAGTTTTGGAGGAGTCAAGAATTAGACACAGATTTTCGACTGCACGGGGATTAGCACTCCTAAGCCCCGCACTGTTCCAGGGTCAACTGTACTATGCAAGAGACTATTTCTAGGATGTGAGACCCCAGTCCCTGCTAACTTGACTGGGGGTAGGGGGTGGGGTTTATAAAATCTCATCGTTTCACCCAGTAATGTCAGAAAAGGAAAGCCAGGAGGCCTGCCCTTGGCCCTGGCTGGCTTGTGTGTGCTTTAGGCTCCCACGGTGTACACAGAGAAATTAGGTTTAAAGGGGTCGTTTCTGGTGATTATGGCTGAGCCCCCCATAGTGCTCGATCAATAGCGGAATGGCACCCCTAGCTTTGCCACCTTGTACCACACACTGCCACCACTTCAACTTCACCACTTCCCCAGCATCCCACTCCCTGGGTCCTACTTACCTCCTGAACTATGAATGCTGAGCCTTCTCCTCAGGAGATTTAGCCTGTGGTAAAATTCACACTTGCCATACTCTACGAGGCCCAGAAAAGGAGCAGCTGCTGGTTTGGCATTCAGTTAGCCCACAGGAGAAGGACAAAATAGATGACTCTATGGATGAAATAAGAGTCCTCTAGTGTCCACGGTCTAGGCTGCTAAAGTTGATGGTCATGCCGTCCAAAGGCCCCTTTGGCTGAGAATTCTCTCCCTCCTAGTTTATGTTTCTAATTCAGCTCCATCAGGGTGAAACAGCCAGCCCTCCCTTCCTGGAATTAGGAATAGCAGGTGTGGGGCTCTGAGCAACACCCACCTCCCTTCACCCCTCCCCAGTTCCCAGCCCCACCCCTGCCTATCCTTCAAGCTCTCAACTGGAACAAATGTACCATTCAAGGAACATTCCAACGTTCTGCAAGCTGCAAATGCCGGACACTCACTGAGGCTCCAAAGGGGGGCACAGCTGTTTCTCCCTTGCCTAAAGAAGACTGGGAAAACAGGCCTTGTGAAATGCAAGTGTGATTCTGGGAGAGAGAGAGAGAGACCTATACTTTAACCCCTAAATAGCCAGCCATTAGAACTTCACTAGATGAGCTGATCCACATTGTCCCTGTGGAGAATCATCTATAGGCCAAAAGAGAGTGACGCGGGAGAAAGGTTCAAGTGCCCGGGGAAGATATGACAGTGGGGACACTGCATGGTAGGCCATATCCAGGCCTCTGGATGGCAGGTCTCAGGAGAGTCTAGGAACTCAGGCTTCTGCTATTGGGCTATGCCTGGGCAAGTGTCACGTGGTGATGTTAATGCCTAGGCCACCGAGCATATGCTTTGCTGCCCTCTTGCTTGAAAACTAGGTGCCCACTTGAGCATTTACTAACCCTATCCCAGCCTGCACATAAACATGACCAACATATTCACCCAGCCTATGATTATATTCTGGGTTTTTCCTTTGGTAGCTGGGCAACTTCTATTTTTAGGAACTATCTGTTATTTTATTGGATACTGACAAGAACCATATGAGGTAGTAATATTATTATCCCCATTTTACAGATGCAGAAACTGAGGCTTAGAGAGGGTAAGTAACTTATCTAAAGTCACACAGTTATTAAGTGGCAGCACTGGGATTCAAGCCCAGGTCAGATGAACACCGGGATTCGTTCTCTTGCCAGACCACACTGTCTTCGTGAACCGTAGTGATGAGCGAGGCCCTGATGGGTAGTGTCTCAGGACCCGATGGGATGTTTCGGTGGGAGGAATAAAGAATGTGGATTGTGGGTACCTACCATAGCTAAGATACCCTGGTCTATCCAAGCTTGGGTAAAGTATTCAGGAGAGACCCCTGGATTACCTAGAGGAGTGGCCCAAGTAAAACCTGGACATCCAGAGCAGAAAAAGTTGGAGGGATCAATGGGTTCCGACAGGTATGGTGCTTGATCTTTCTTGGTGGGGATGGGGGGCGGGAAGCTGTGTTTGTTAGCCTATCACAGACTTCAGGGCACAGATTCCTGGGTAAGGCTCAGGGCCCTCCCAGCTAGTGCCATTCTCTCCTCTACACTTCCTAGCCACACATCCTAGGCAAGACGGAAGATATCCCCAAGGGAATGTACCTGTATTCTATTGCTTTCCTTTCATCCCTGAAACTGAGTCTTCTAGTCCCCCAGGATGGGCTCCAGCCATTGACCTGTCCCCAGGAATAGGGATGGGGGTTTAGGAAGGAGGAGGAGGCCCAGAACACAGCACATTGGGGCAGCTGGTGGGCAGTAGCCAAGTATCGCAGGCACACAGGTGCTGTTTCTTCTCCAGGGATTCCAGCTGAGTCCATGTGCCCGTGTCCCAGTTCTGCCTCACTTCACCTTATAAAACATCAAGGCTCCATTTTCAGTTGGATGCCTGAGGATCTTTTTTCTCCCTTCCTCCATCCCTCCTCTCCCCTCCCCCGTTTTGGTTAATTTTATTTGGTTCATGGTTCGATTTAAAAATTAATATTTGGATTCAGTTTTGGGTACAGCAAAGTTACGTGGTTTGTTCCGGTTTTTGGTTCGTGATGCAGTTCAAATCTGTCGTTCCGACATCATGTTAGTGCTATAAGTGGAGCCAGATATTGTTGCCTGAGAGGGCCCCAAGGAGGACTTGAAAAGTCCTCAGCAGCTGCCTGGTGCTCATTCACCTCACTCAGAACTGCCTCATCTTGGGGCAAACGTGATTCCAATACAGCCCACGGAGGAGGGATTCACATCGCTGTGCTTCTGGTCCCACAGCAATAATCATATTAATAAGAACAGTGGTGAGGTCCTGCCATTTAAAGAGCACTTCGTATCTGCCAGGCTCTGTGTTATGCTATTTAGATGCATCGTCCAACACTAAGAAGGAAGTCCTATTGTCGTCCTCATTTTACAGATGAGGAAACTGAGGCCCAGAGAGGCAAGCAGCATGTCCAAGATGAAACAGCAAGGCAATGGTAAGGTCAGGATAGGATGCAAGCAGAAGCGGAATTTCAGATATTGTTAGGGATGTAGATCAGCGTTATGAGGTTAAGTGCTAGACTTGTTCCCATTTTGCCTGTGAGGACTTGGCGGGGTACAGAGAAGTTCTGGAACTGGCCCAAGCTCACAGGCAGAGCTCACAGGTAGCAAGCACCAATAATGAAGTACACTTTCTTCCTCCTTCCTTCCCTGTCGTGTGTTCTTTTTGGAAAGCATGAGCCACTCAAACTTTTGCTAAAGATGAATATGACTTGAAATAAGTAGGAAATAAGACTTGAAATAAGACTCACTTTGCCTTGATTAGAGTAGAGGCAAGTCCAGCGGAAATTAATCAAAAGTTTGAATTATAAGCTATGCGAAAAGAAATGCTGTTTTCATCACCTGCAAACACATATAATCACTGGAGCCAAGCCGCTAGGACTCTTCAGGGCACCTGCTTTAATGAGGACTCCCAAGCAATGTGCCCTCTGCAGTACGTTCAACTCCACTCCCTGGTAATCTTGCTCATGGCCATCATCTGTTCCACAAGCCCTTCCATCGGAGATGCTGTAAAGGTACACTGCAATCAGACCTCCGACACGAAAATTCTCACGAATTCCAAATTGGTGAAATCGGAACAAGCAAGGACATACTGAATCTGGGGAGTATGAAAAAAACAAAAACAAAATAAAAGCTGTCTCATGTGTTGGGGTGGGTTCTGGTTCATGAGTTCGAGTGAGGAGGCAGGCAGAGCTTGTCGGCAAGCACTGACCACTCTCATCTCTGATTATTCTGCAGGCCTGATCTTAGTCATTTACTTCTTCTTCTATGCCTCCCTGGCCGCTGTGATTACCCTCTGCATGTACACGCTCTTTCTGACCATCAGTCCTTACATGCCGCCCTTCACCGAGAGGGTGAAGCCTCCTGGTGAGTGCCCAAGTGCCCTGTGCTGCCCAAACTTGCTGGAGAGAAATCTGCTTGCACCGCATGTTCAGCCTCAATTAACTTTGGCTCTTCCCAGTAATGACTTAGGGATTCAATTATTAAGAGTAAAAGTAAAATGGTATTTGGCAAATTATGGTCCTTTTTATTTTGATTGCCTGGGGCGGGTAGTGATTTCATGGGAATCAACACAAAAAAATTATCCCAAGAATGGGTTAATATATCCAAGACTTGTTTTCATTGCCAGGAGTTATGATTAGACCCTTCGCCCATAGCCTTAACTTCAACTTCAACGTTTCTGAACCTGACACTTGGCAGCATTATGTCATTAGCCTAAATGGCTTTCTCCAGGGTAAGTGCTTCTGAGTGGGGGAAGTCTCTTTGGAAAGGTGATGGGGTGGGTGCACGGGTTGGGATGGGAGGAATCAAAATTCACAGTTCACCAGAAATCCCACTCCTACTAACCCCAGCCCATCCTGGTCTTTCCCTACTCTGCATCCCTCTCAGCACCTGTATACACAATCAAAACTGTTTTAGCTTGTGATCGTATGTTGTCTTGAAAGCACATAAGCCAACTCTCCATTAAGATGCTTAGTTCATCAGGGCAGAGAACTTGTTTCCTTTTCTTAAACATTCTCAGGCACCTAGTTATGTCCCGGGCACATCCAGATGGCTCAATGATGATCAATTATAAAAGATCATTCCAGGGGGGTGGGTAGTGATGAGAAAAGAAGAGTGTTCTCCAGCATGGGAAGATTCCTGCCTCCTATACTCTTTCAAGGTAAGAGAATTCCTTCTCCTTTCTCCGAGATAGGCCATCTTGATGGAAGAGAACAGGGGTCTTGATTTAATAGCATCCCGGCAGGGAGTTAGAGGAAGAATCTCTGGGTGACAGTCACTCCAACATTTTGATAACAAATGTTTGCAAGATGCCTCTGTAGGGTCATCAGACACGCTCTTGGGGACAAATGAGTGGCTTTTGAGAAGCCCTTCCACAGACTGAAAACTAGGGAGCAGTTTGGTTAAGGTTCGACACAGAGCACACACGCTCTGTATCGATCCAGCTATCAGAGAGGAGCCCCAGTGGATTTACATTGCTGCACCAATTATTTGTGGAAAAAAGCCATTTGGATTGGTTTGGTTGTCCCTTCCTGGCTGAATTGGTGGGGTGTTGGGGGGGGAGTGGAGGAGGGGCATAGGGGGCAGTAGAATGTGCACTGAATTAAGAGAAAAACAATCTCTTATGTGATGGGAAGCGCTATGTAAATGCATAAATTTTGTCTTTTTTATTTATTTATTTTTTTATAAATTAATTTTTATTGGTGTTCAATTTACCAACATACAGAATAACACCCAGTGCTCATCCCGTCAAGTGTCCCCCTCCGTGCCCGTCACCCATTCACCCCCACCCCCCGCCCTCCTCCCCTTCCACCACCCCTAGTTCATTTCCCAGAGTTAGGAGTCTTTATGTTCTGTGTCCCTTTCTGATATCTCCCACACATTTCTTCTCCCTTCCCTTATATTCCCCTTCACTATTATTCATATTCCCCAAATGAATGAGAACATACACTGTTTGTCCTTCTCCGATTGACTTACTTCACTCAGCATAATACCCTCCAGTTCCATCCACGTTGAAGCAAATGGTGGGTATTTGTCATTTCTAATGGCTGAGTAATATTCCATTGTATACATAAACCACATCTTCTTTATCCATTCATCTTTCGATGGGCACCGAGGCTCCTTCCACAGTTTGGCTATTGTCGACCCAGCAATTGCACTGTTAGGGATTTACCCCAAAAATTCAGATGCAATGAAACGCCGGGGCACCTGCACCCCGATGTTTCTAGCAGCCATGTCCACAATAGCCAAACTGTGGAATTTTGTCTTTTTTAAAAAAAGATTTTATTTATTCATGAGAGACAGAGAGGCAGAGACATAGGCAGAGGGAGAAACAGGCTCCATGCAGGAAGCCCAATGCGAGACTCGATCCGGAGACTCCGGGATCACGCCCTGAGCCGAAGGCAAACGCTCAACCACCGAGCCACCCAGGCGTCCCTTGTCATTTCATGCATAGAAAAATCTACCATCAGGGCGCCTGGGTGGCTCAGTCGGTTAAGTGTCTGACCCCTGATCTCAGCTCAGGTCTCCATCCTGGGGTTGTGAATTCAAGCCCCGTGTTGGACTCCACACTGGGTGTGGAGCCTACATGAAAAAATCTACCATCTCCATTCTACAAACGGGGTGACTGAGGCTCAGAAAGGGGAAGTAACATGATAAAAGTCTCCCAGCAGCCGAAACAGTGTTTAATCCCACATCCGTGGTTTTGACACCCTTGCTACTGGAAGTGTGGTCCAGGATCTGCAGCAACAGTATCCCCTGGGAGTTTATTAAAAAGGCAGGCTCTCAGGCCCCACCCCAAGGCCTGTGGAATCAGGACTGGCACTTGAACAACAACCACAGGTGATCTGTATAAACTTTAAAGCTTGAGAAATACACTGCTTTTTGTAATTGCTTGCTGCCCTATGACCAGGAGTTAGAAACTCAGCTTTATTTATTTTTATTTTTATTTTTTTTTGAAACTCAGCTTTATTATCAGTCATGCTCAGTGTCCTTTTGGGTAAGTCTGAGTTTCAGATTCCTAACCTGTGAAATGAGGAGAGCTGGGTCCTTTCTGAGTCCATGTAGTTCCTTTTTGAGCTCAAAAAAATGTTTTGGGCATCATAGCCAGCACAATATCTTCTTTTCTTTCGAACTGTTTGTGAACTATTACAAGCATGTTGCCAGAATCTCTGTGGAGGAAATCCGTCTGAGAAGCTAGTAGATAGAGAAATACCAATTCTGACCTTATGACAGAGATGGAAAACTTTAGGGAAAACAGTGGGTTTTTAGTTGCTACGTGTAGATAGCATGCCCTATTTAAAAGGAACACATCTCTGAAATAGCATCCCAGAGTATCAATTTCATTCCCAGGAGGACTGGGATTTTGCAATAAGGGTCATGCCCATGTCACATTATTTTTAATGGAACTACCTCAAGAGAAACAATGAGCACGTGATTAGAGCTTCTATTTAGAAACTTATTTGAACATAGTTCTTGTGCTAAAAAAAAAAAAAGATTAAAACAAAGCCTTGAATCAAATGTAGCTTTGTTGAAGGAAAAATAAAGACTTAACCATAATCAGAATAGATTTAAAAATTCCCAGTTGCTTCTTAATAATATTAAACTGCAGTCACAACCTGTCTAGATGCAGACCCAGTAGTACATTTGGAGTTTCACCGCTGGTAAATCATATAGGTACACAATCTCCTCTGATAAACTAAGCGGCTAAGAACATGAGTGCAGGAGGGCTGGACCTAACAGGACTAACTGGACTCCATCATTTAACACCAGATTGGAAATAATGTAGTAATTTCCAAAGCCCAGTTCCATGGCATCTGGTAGTCCAAAGAGTGAGCTCACAGATAGTCCCCTTCAACTCTCTTTCCCGATGTGTATACCTTGGACACATGTGACGTGAACTCTGAGTGCCTCAGGTCTCGACAGACAAGATCTCACCTTCTCACCTTCTTGGGGGAGACCCTACATCTTGTCGTTGGTTTCTGTCTCTCAACCTAAGCTTCTATTTTGGGGTGCTAACTTCCCTCTGTAAAGGACCAGAAGCTGGTTTTTCTCCTCTTCCTCCCTCTTTCTCTTCCTCTCCCTTCCTCCTGCCCCACAGCACACACTTCTCATTTTCTTGCATCAGATGTCTCTCGCGGACCTCACAGGAGATGTGTCCTAGACTGACCTTAAAGAGATTTCACCCAAGAGCTTCGCTTCCTTATATAAGCCCCACTGTGACACGATTCAGTCCCTCTTCCAAAATCTGTCTGCTACGTGCCTATTCCTCTTCCAAGAGTAGAAGGAGCAGCCCTCCAAGCTTACGATGTGCCATAGCTGAAAAGAAATAAGGGAAAATGGCAGTTATAAAGTGACCAGCACATGACCTGGCGATAGATATTCCCAAGTGCGGAGGGAAGGAGAAGCAATCAAAGTGGGCCGAGGGGATGAGCCCAAAAGGTTTCCAGGAGAGAGGCTGATTGATGGAGGGCCTTGGGCACCGATCCGGGTCACAGAGCCTAGGCCAGGCCGAGGGCTTTCAGAGGAGTACAAGCAAGCTGCAGACAGGAAACTAGGGAGGAGGACTACTGGAAACGTGGCCTTCCTCTGTAGCACCTGTCTAATGTACCCCTTTGCCACCCACACGTTCACCTTAGGTTACAATGACAGTCTTCAAGAGGAGATGAATGTAGATTGTCCCCCGGGGCAGTACTTCATCCAAGATGGCGATGAGGATGAAGACAAGAAGGCCTGCCAGTTTAAGCGCTCCTTCCTCAAGAACTGCTCTGGCTTGGAGGACCCTACTTTTGGCTACTCTACAGGACAGCCCTGTATCCTTCTAAAGATGAACCGGGTATACTGGCCTTTGATACTCCAGTGATAATAGGTGGATGAGCTGGGTAGGAGGGCTCTGGCCACTCCATTTCTATTGGGCTCTGTCTCCACACACTGCAAGTGTGGTCACTTTTACTGACAGCATCAGTAATACAAACAATGGGACAAACCTATCAAATAATAATACCTTTTTCTCCCTGAGTACTTCCTATGTCCACTCTTCTCCCCCATCCCCAACCAGCCCTTGATGCCCTCTGTCAGCAATGAGGTCCTGAGCTGTTTGCAACAAGGGACTGACATGGTGGCAGTAGAGAGGGGCAATTCTTATAAGAAATACATTTTCTTCCTCTCTTGCCATGCCTGAGGTGTGGTAGAGCCTTCCCAAGTACATCCCTCTTCAAACCAGAAAGTTCTTTACATCTTCAGGGTTCTCTGTATGAACATCAGGTAACAGTGCAATGAGTAAGCTGAGCTGCGCAACTTTGAAGATATTTTGCATTTTTTGCTTTTTGTGATATTCCTATGAGGGCAAAATAGATTACGTTTATGCCTAAGGAAGTGGTGGCTTCAGGAGGATTTAGAAAAGTCCCATTTTCACTGTCCAATCCGTTTTGTTTTATGATGTGAAAACAGTAACAACAATGCTGGTTTTCTTTTGCTAGATTGTAGGCTTTCGTCCTGAGCTTGGGGATCCTGTGAAAGTGTCCTGCAAAGTTCAGGTAAGGTTCCTTTTTGAGTGAGTATGGCTAACACATTGGTTTTATGCAAAAAGGTGGTTCATCCCTTCCAAGGGCTTCACTATGGATGACTGACTGGCTATGGGTTAGGGAAAGGGTTCATTTTTTCATAACTACAACTCCCTTTAGTACCTTCAGGCCTCCTTCTTGCCAGAAAGCATTCAATTCATGTGTGTGTGTAGTGCGGATGTGTGTGTGTGTGTGTGTGTGTGTGCGCGCGCGCGCGCGTGCCAGTTTATACCTGTGAAAGCCAAACAATGAACCTGCTAGGGGCCACAGCAGGGGATGATAATGTGCCACGTCATTAATTGGGATTCTGTTTACACTTTTGCTTTTAGCTCTAATTACTTGTTTCTTTGAACTAAACAACAGATTTCATTAGAGTCATTAGTCCCTGCTTTTAAAACAGAATTTCACTTTTTGCAGCAATGACCAGTGGCACTGCGTGTTGCAATAACAAATGACTACAAGGGAAGTATAAACAGAACTCCATTAATATGCTAATTAACTGCCCTTCGAGGGGCCATTAACTCCTATCTCATCTGCACCAATTAGCTCCTTTGTTGGAAGAAGCCCTAGATCTTGGGTTTGCTTCTCAAACTGGAAGTGGTAGCTCCCTCCTGTTTCGTAACATCCACTGTACCCCCAGCCCTGGACAGTTGTCTCACTAATGTGTGAAGCCAGGTAATCCCATTCTTAGTTCTAGAAATACAGCTCAAAACTCCAGTCTTGATGGTGCTAGATCAGAAAGCAGCAAGAGGCAACATTCATTCAGCAAGCATTTATTGATCACTTATGATATACCAGGTACTTTGCTAGGTTTTGGGGGTGCCAAGATAAACACGACTCTGTCTCTGAAATCAGGGCAATCAAATATTACAGATGCTATGAAAAGTGCCGTGGGGACACTGAGGAGGGAAAGGTTAGTTCCACATGGGAGGTGCTGACGCTGAAGGTGAATGTTGAAAGGTCAGGATATGGTTTGCCCTGTGAACAAGATCAAAGGACATTAATTCTGTTCACATGTACATGAGTATGTGTAAATATACACACATGTGAGGTGTGACTACAAATTAGTGGAACTGATTCCACGGATTATTCACAAACGTGAACTGCATGGCTTTCTAGAAGAATATGTAAGTAAATCATAAAGACCAACACAATCTTAAACTAGTATGTTAATTAGCTTGAGTCCTGCTTATAGTTCTCTAGTAGAAGCCATTCATTTTTCAGCTGACATAGAACCTTGCTGAGAACTGTCCTTTAAAACGAAAACAAGAAATATTAAGAGTCTTTATACATTCTATAATAATCAACTGGTCAAAATCCACACCCACTTGTGGAAATAAAGCAGGATAAGGTAATCACTAGGATAAATTAAGGAGAGCTCCAATTATACTAGGAACGATTACACTGTGTTGAAAGAAGTAATCACATGACCCCAGTGAGTGATTTGCTAGTAGTGATGCACTGTCTGTCCCTTATCAGCCCCTAGACCTCCGCCATATAGGGCAAGCCTAATTCATAGGCAGAAAGGTCCGTCCCCTACCTGACATGATATGATGAAGCTAGACTTATTTATTTCATCTTTCCAGCACTGGTTCCCTCTTGCTCATCCCCCTGATTGCCTCTATAGTAATTAAGCACTATAGAGAACATGGTCAGAGACATGAGTTTTGGTGGGCCAAACTTATGGGATGTGTCCCTATGCATCAGATTCCTGTGCACCCGGTCTGACTGACTTCCAACAGAATTGAGCCCACAATGTGCAGGTTGTTGTGGTGTGGAATTTACTAAACATGTTCTTTTTCTTAAGATTTTATATATTTATTTGAGAAAAGGAGTGCGTGTGTGCACAAGCAAGGGTTGTGGAGGGGCAGAGGGAGAGGGGGAAGCAGACTTCCCAATGGGCAGGGAGCCCATTGTGAGGCTCCATCCCAGGACCCCGGGATCACCATCTAAGCCGAAGGCAGGCACTTAATCAACTGAGCCACTCAGGCACCCCTACTAAACATGTCCTAACTTATACCTGCCTCAAAGTCCAAGACTGGGTGCCAGCCCCAGGATGATTTTCTTGGAGAGGGGCTGGCATGGTAGGCCCTCTTGCTAGAGCAGCACCAGCTACTGCAAGCCCTCTGGAGCCCTTCTGTCTAGGTCCCCTAGGAGCCAGTACAGAACTATATTGAGCATGTTTGGCCTCCTCAGTCTAGGCCTTCCATTCAATATTCTTGGAACTGAAAACCAAGGCACAGTCTCCCTCTGGAAATGCTCTGGGGATATAGGTGTGGGGTAAGCTATGCCCCATTCTGCTTTCATGGGTCTTCCTGGGACAGTTGGTTGTGGGTCACATGCTGAGTTCACCTGGGGCACAGGCCCCTTGAGCTCAGGCTTCAACCCATGAAGGGACCCAGCATCCCACATACACCTGCTTTTACTTACAGAGAGGCGATGAAAATGACATCCGATCCATCAATTACTACCCAGAGTCGGCTTCTTTTGACCTTCGCTACTACCCTTACTATGGCAAACTGACTCACGTAAGCCTGTATCCTTTTCAGTCTTTGCTGTCAGAAAGGTCTCAGAGACAGAGGAAGGGCTGTCTGGAATCTCTGGGAACTAGGGAGCAGCATTAGACAGCAGGATGAATAGCAGCTGGCCAAGACCAGGTGCTACCTCTACCAATTCCTAGTTTAAACGCTCCTTTCCATATCTGAAGAAATCCCAGATATGGTCTGGTCTCACTCCTTCAGTTTACAGATGGAGATTTTAGGCTTCAGAGAAAGTGACTTGCCCAAAACACATAGCTAATTAGCGGCAGAGCCAGGAGCAGACAAATCACTGTCATTGCACTCCATTACACCCAAATAATCACACCTGCCTGTTTCTCCCAGGTGAAGCCTTGGGGCAGTGGTGGTGGGTCATAGAGTGAGGCTTCATCTTTAGCAGAGACATTTGAAAGATACTAGTTCTGGTTTCATTCATGGTCTGATATCCAGAAAATCATATCACATAGACTTAGAACTGGTTTTCCCCAGAGGACAATCAGACATCTGACAGTGACTTACAGGAGAAACATGCCATTTCCCCACTGTCCCAGAGCAGAGAGAGAGCATGTCAATGGCTTTAGCCATTTGCGACTTGGCCTCATGGGACTCGCTCAGTTCCCTGTGTGAGGATTATCCCATCTTGCACTGAATATCTGATCGCTTCTATCCTGTTACCCACTCCACCCCCTCCCCTCTTCCCACTTAGGATTCATTGTTCTTCCACCTACAGGTTAACTACACCTCCCCGCTGGTGGCAATGCACTTTACAGACGTGGTGAAGAACCAAGCAGTGCCTGTACAGTGCCAGCTGAAGGGCAAAGGCATCATAAATGATGTCATCAATGATCGTTTTGTGGGGAGGGTGATCTTTACTCTGAACATAGAAACCTAAGAACTGTGCGGGGCACTCCTGCTTGTTCTGTTTCTGTTTATTTCATGTACCCCTGGTAGTACCTGGATTCTTTTTCTTCGATCAGGACACAGCCAGATGGACACCTAAGACAGCAGATCATCTTTCCTTGCCTTTGACATATGTATAAAATGATACTGTGGGATTGATTTTTCAAAGGTAGTCTCTCCTGATGACAAATAGATGATAATTTCCTTTCCCCGCGACTTAAAACTAAAACCCATTCTTGCTGCTAGAAGTCTCACCATAGTGTAAACATAGTATCTGATAAAATTCACAAGAGCCATGAAGGGGAATTGCTATGATAATTTTAAACTCATCGTGTTTTGTAAAATTTTGTTGTTTTTAGAGGTGAAAGTCCTCCCAATCAGGCCGATAACTTTTTTTTCCTTTTCTCAACCTGCCTGGCAAGTTCCTTCCCTGGGAACCACCAATCATACCAACTTGGAATACACTCAGGGCTACCATACCTAGAGAACTCTTTATCTAAGGGTGCTTGAGGAACTGGCTGCCTCAAATGGGCAACTAAATAATACTGATTTGAAGACTAGGTTATCTTCAACTGGGCCAGAAAGCAGTGCTAACTGGATATCATTCTGGAATAGAAATGAAGACCTTTCCTATGACTTTTCTGGGAGATGGGGTCCACAGCAATTGGGGAGAATACCTACCATGTGGATGTGATTGGCATTTGATTCCTTGCTCTGAGGTGTGGTCATCCAAAGGCAAACATTCCTGCACACAGGTTTCTTTCAACTTCAGGCAAAGGAGAAAGCAAGGAAGATCTTCACCCGTTAATTATTCTTGGGCTATTTGCTTGACAGCAGGATAATCTTCTTTGAGACCATCAGGGATGGGCATGTTGGTCCCCAGCTACAGTTCTGGGGATTGAAATCTCAGTCTCTTCCTACTGATCCATCATAAGACAGAAAGCTCCTGCCAGGCCACCCAAAATCCAAGGCCCACTGCCAGCGTTTCATTTGCCTAGAAAACGATAGGAGGCAGATGTTTATCCAGGTTGTGGATCAGCCAGGCTGCTTTGTCTTATCTTTGGCCATGCGACCATTCCACTGCTTCTTAACACCTCCACCAGGGGGAGGGCTGGGACAAGGAGAAAAAGTGAGCATTAGAGTATTGCATAGCGTCTCAGGGTTCAAAGTAAGCTTAAATGCCACCTAGAAGCATCCAGAGTCTGAATCTCCTCTACAATGTTTATCTTCTCCCAAAACAGGGAACTGGCAGTCTGGTAGTGAAGACAAACAAGGAAAGAAGTAACTATGAACTAGTATGACAAGTTATAAAACTAGTATGTGGTAATGCCATGGGAACATGAGGAAAAGTAACTTGAGCTGAGAAAGTAGCAGAGGAAATTTCACATGCAAAATCACAAACACGAAATACCATGGTGTGTTTGGGTAACTGGGAGCAGTTCATATAACTGGAGTGTAAGGGGTTCAAAGGAATGGCCAGGAGTGTCAGGGGATTGAGCTAGAAAGGTGTACAGGTACTGAAAGAGGACTTTGAGTTTAATCCAATAGGTGAAAAGGTGTCATCAAGGTATTTTAAGCAGGGAAGTTCTGTGATCATATTTGCACTTTACAAAGAGCACTTTGGCAGCCACAGTGTGAAAAATGGGTTGAAGAGGGCAAGACTGGGGAATGGGCAATGAGGGAGAAGGAGGAGTCAAGAATGGCTCCAAGGTTTTGAACTTGGCTAGAACCAGTGTGATGGTGATATTGTTGATCAAGACTGGGAATTCAAGAGAGAAGCAAGATTGGAGAGCAAGATGTGATCAATTTAAAGCTTGTGATTCCTATTGGTCAGACACCCATGTGGAGATGTAAACATAAGTGGAGTTGGGGAGAAGGAAATCTGAGAACAAAAGCAACATTTGCTTAAGTGAACTCTCTTAAGAAATTCTAAGCTATTTGATCTCAGGAATTTGAGCCAGTTATGTAAACACACCACACCAATCTAGTCTCTCAGATAGTGTTTTTCTCTTCACTTGTGGCAGAAAGCACTGTGGCTGCTCTTTGGAATCTCCTTCCCACTTTCCAACTCTTGTCAACAGAGTAGAGGGGAGCTGACCTCTATTAACAAGTGATAAAATATTCGACAGCAGATATGTGAAAAATACAAACAACAACAACAACAAAACTGTCTCCTCCCAACCCCTGTCCTTATCAAATTCCATTTTCAAAACTAATCTTGAAAAAGAAAGAACAAAATACCTGAAGATGATAACTTTAAAACCATTTCAAGATTACTTCAAGTAATCAAACTCTCAAGATTCAGTAGTAAAAGATAATAGAACATTAGATCTGGAAAGGATATTAGAGTGTTTAGAGAAAACAACCTGCATTGCATCTGACTCCAGGTCCAGTGCTCTTTCTACTCTGAGCTGCTGCTTACCAGGAAGTACCATCTTTTTAAAAATCAATGGATGATATCCCAAACATTTTGAAACATATGTCAAATTTGGGTTAGAATAGTTAACATTTCACAGGAATTCAATTACTGGTGCTATATTTTATACATAATACATTATCCTGTTAAATGCGTTGACTATTACACAGACAAGGAATTATGAATCTTTTGTCATACAGTATTTCTCATTCAGTGGAATCCATTGTATCCACAGTTTCCAAGCAGTATTGAATAGTACTAGGATGGTTTGGGTTGTCAGCTGGGACATGAAAAAAAATAGCTTTATCACACAGAACTGGATATTATAATATATACTCACTAAAATGGAATTCTAACAGTTCAATAAACTTCCAGTGGATTAATTAAAATCATCCCCCATACTGTATCATACCAGGATTTGATTTGCATACCATCTGTTGCAATGCACTTGGTTTTACTTTATTGTCAATGAGAATTACTACTTCCAAATGCCTTCGTGGTTTTGTCCATGTTAGACTTATGATTTCACACCCCCTCTGAAATCATTATCCTAAAGTAACTTTCCTTAGGCATCTATTTGCTGGGAATCTTCATGTAGAAAACATTATTATTGTATTGAGGAATTGTTGACAACAATAAATTGAAATAAAAAAGAAGTGTATGGTTTCCTCTCTCTAGACAGTACCACTGATTTTCCCACAGGAATACTGGGCAGCCATGTGAGTGGAAAATTTGACAACTGACAGCCTATTAGTTTAAAACTTTTTTTCTTCTTCTTCCCCCTATTTTTTTTTTTTACTCTTGGGGTTTAACCACAGAAGGATGAAACTAAAAGTTGTTTCATTTCTGAGCATTTTTCCTTTTGTAGTCTCTATGCTCTGGTTTCTCGGAAGACTACTTTGTCAGAGCAAACTTCCTTTCTTCATCGAGTCCTCGTGTAAATTGTTCCATTTGTTTGTGTAGAAAAGGAACACCAAGAGAAACTTTGAGGTGGAGAGAAGGAACCAATATCCAAAGAGAAGCTGCAATTGCTTGATGAAAGCCTGGCTAAGTGATTTTAAGGCACATCTGGCCACAAATGGTCTCCCAGAGCAAATCTCTAATGGTAACTGCAATTAAAGACAGAAATATTTCCACTCCCTTGTCTGACTCAGAAACTAAGCTGCTATAGGAATCCCTTCTTTCTTTGGAAGCTGCCCTGGCCTAAGGTCTACTAGGCTTATATGGTTTGATTGAGGCGAGGTCTGTGATCCCAATACCTTTCCCCAATCTAGGTTCTTGGTTAGAGTCATTTTCCTTACTGATTTCCTCTTGAAGTATTCAAACATGATAAAGGAATTTAGCCAAATCAAACAGAAACATGATTTCCACTGTGATTTTATCTAGGCAGAAAACAGAGGTTTGGATGTGTGGTGATGGGGAGGAAGAACAGGATGGATGGAGGCAAAGAGTGAGAGAAAGGAGTTGAAAGGCTGAATAGCCCTGCTTACTTCACAAAGTTCTTTAGTTGCAAGCTAGAAGGGAAGAGACACTGATAGGAGGATCTAAAAGGCTTAAGAAAGATATGATAGGCTCTCAGTCTGGCAGCTTAGTCTCCAGGATATACTTCTGTGCAGGCTCCTGCATGGCCATAACATCAATCAGGGTTCTAACAATAGATAACACACTTGACAAAATGGAGTAATTGGCAGGGGGCATTATTTACAAAGAGATTACTTATAAATGTGTAGATGCAGGGAACCACAGAGAATAGCACAATAACCCAGGCTAGTATAAGCTGAACTCTTACCTTCCCTACACCCCAAGGGACAGGCATAGGAAGTGGCTCCCACAACCCAGAAGGGCCAAGTCATGTACAGCTAACTGCCCTGAGAGGAGTGGTGACCTTGTTGAAGGCCTAAGCTAGCCCAAGGTGATCTTGTAGGGAGGTAATCATACATCTATTTATGGTTGTATCTGAACTTAAAAAAATTTTTAAATTAAGATCTCCAAAGAACAGTCCTTTCAGTCTACCCTAGCATCTTGTTGACATCTTTCACTTGAAAGAGAGGGTGAAGAGAGAAACAAGCCGTCTTGATTTATTCTGCTTTATCTTTACCAAAAAACATTCTATAATTCAACTCTGCATTAAATGAAATGTCTGGCTTGCATAAAACATTTTCTTTCCAGAACAGAATGATACAACCTTCATAATACAGTTAACTTGAATCAGAAAAATATTTGTCTTCCATTAAGGACAAACCTGTTCATAAATGAGAATCAGGATAATGGTGACATCCTTTCCCTCTCCAATCCCCCAGCTGATGATATCATCTTGTATATAGAAAATCCTAAGGAATCTACTAAAAGACTATTACAGCTAATAAACAAGTTCATCAACATTGTAAGATAAAAGGTCAGTATACAAAAATTGGTTCTTTCTATACACTAGTAGTGAGCAATTTATAAAAAAGAAATTAACAAAACAATTCCATTTACAATTGCATAAAAAATAAAATACTTAGGAAAAGAGTAACAAAAAGAAATGCAAGACTTGTGCACTGAAAACTACATAGCATTGTTGAAATAAGAGCTACATAAATGGAAAGACACCCATGTTCATGGATTAGAAGATTAATATAGCTTAAAATGGCAATACTTTCCAAATTGGTCTACATATTCAATACAATCCTTTCAAGATCCAACTTCCTTTTTTTCACCCCCAGAAACTGATATGGCAATCCAAAAATTCATATAGAAATGTAAGGGACCCAGGAAAAGCCAAAATAATTTCAAAAAAGAACAAATCTGGAAGACTCATACATTCCAATTTCAAAACGTCTATAACATTAGAGTAATTAGGGCAGCCCCAGTGGCTCAGCAGTTTAGTGCCGCCTTCAGCTCAGGGCATGATCCTGGAGACCCGGGATTGAGTCCCATGTCAGGCTCCCTGCATGGAGCCTACTTCTCCCTCTGCCTGTATCTCTGCCTCTCTGTGTGTGTGTGTCTCTCATGAATAAATAAATAAAAATATTTTTAAAAAATAACATTAGAGTAATTAAAACAGTGTGGTACTGCCATAAGGATAGACATATAGAACAATGGAATAGAATTGAGAGTCCAGAAATAAACCCCTACTTCTATGGCCAGTTGATTTTTGAAAACAGTGCTACATCCATTCAATAGTCAAAGGATAGTCTCTTCAACAAATGGTTCTAGGATAATCTGCATGCAAAAAAATTAATTTGGACCCTTACCTCATACCATATACAAAAGTTAGATCAAAGATCTAAATGTAAGAGCTAAAATTATAAAGCTCTTAGAAGAAATATAGACATAAATCTTTGTTTCTTAAACAATGGTTTCTTAAACACACAACTTCAGTGCAGAGTCTAAAGAGATATTTCTCCAAAAGAGATATACAAATGAATAATAAGCATATGAAAAGGTGTTAAACACTATTAGACATTAGGAAAATGCAAATCAAAAGCACAATAAGATACCATTTCACATCCACTACAAAGGCTATTAAAAGAAAGGACAATAACAAGCATTGAGGATGTGGAAAAATTAAAACCCTCATAAGCTGCAGGAGAGAATGCAAAATGGTGAAGCCACTTTGGAAAAACAGTTTGGCAGTTCTTCAAAAGATTAATCACAGAATTTACCATATGGCTCAGAAATTCCACTCCTAGATACACACCAAAGATCACTGAAAACATAAGTCTTCCCAAAAGTGTGTACTCGAATGTTCATAGCAGCATTATTCATAATAACCAAAAAGTGGAAATAACCCAATATCCCTCAACTGATGAATGAATAAACAAAATGTGGCATAACCATATAATGGAATATTATTCAGCTATAAAAGCTATGAAATATGGATCCATGCTATAGGGTGGATGAACCTCAAAACATTATGTTAAGTGAAAGAAGCCAGAAACAAAAAGGCCACATCTATGATTCCATTTCTATGACATGTCATAGAAATAGGTATATCCATAAAGACACAAAACAGATCAGTGGTTGCCAGGGAGGGGCTGGAGGGAAGTGGAAAAGAGAGTGACTGCTAATGGGAATGAGACTATCTATCTATCTATCTATCTATCTATCTATCTATCTATCCATCCATCTAACTATCTGTCTATCCACCTATCTGTCTATCTATAGACAGAGGGAAGGAGAGAAATTTCTGGGTCATATGGCAACTTCTTGTTTAACTTTTAGTGGAACTGATAGACTGTTTTCCAAAGCAGCTGCACCATTTTACAGTCCCACTAGCAATATATGAGGGTTCTAATCTCTCTATATCCTTGCCTACACTTGTTACTGTCCATTTTTTAAATTACAGTCATCTCACCAAGTGGGATGTGGCATCTAATTGTGGTTTTGATTTGAATTTTCTATTTTCCTGATGACTAATGATGTTGAGCATTTTCATTCATGTGCTCATTGACCATTTGTATATTTTCTTTGGAGAGATATCTATTCAGATTCTGTGCTCATTTTTAGTTCAGTTGTCTTTTTTACTATTTTTGTTAGAGCTATTTATGGATTCAGGATAGTAGACCTTTATCAAGTATAATGTTTACATAACTTTTCTCCCATTTTATGGGTTGTCTTTTCAAGTTCTTGATAGAATAATTTATTTATTTTTTAAAATATTTTATTTATTTATTCATGAGAGACACAGAGAGAGAGAGGCAGAGACACAGGCAGAGGGAGAAGCAGGCTCCACCCAGGAGGCCCGACGCAGAACTTGATTCCGGGTCCCCAGGATCACACTCTGGGCCGAAGGCAGCGCTAAACCACTGAGCCACCCGGGCTGCCTGATAGAATACTTTTAAGTAAAGAAGTTTTTAATTTGGGTGTGGTCTAATTTATATTTTTTTTCTTTTGTTGCTTGTGCTTTTGGTCTCATATCTAAGAAGTTCTTTCCAAACTCAGGGTCATAAAGTTTGCTTCTACATTTTCTTCTAAGTGTTTTTAGAGCTTTTGCTGGTACATTTAGATCTATGACCATTTTGAGTTACCACAGTCTTTTAATTACTATAGCTTTGTAGCAAGTTGTGATTGGAAAGTATGAATCTTCCAACTTTGTTCTTCTTTTTAAAGACCTTTTTAAGGTTGCATCCTTTCAACCTCTATTTAAATTTTTGGATCTGCTTGTTATTTTCTGCAAGAAAAGTTCTATTTCAATGGTTGCTTTGGGGTTTATAGCAGGTTTTTCTTCAGCCTCAGCATTGTTGACATTTGGGGCCAGGCAATTGTTTTGGGGACTGTTATATGCATTTTGCAGCATCCCTGGCCTCTATCCAATAAATACGTTTTGGAAACCAAACATGTCTCCAGGCATTGTTGAATGTCCTCCAGGGGTCAAAAATCACCCCAGACTGAGAACCACTGGTTTAGAGTTTGTCTGTTTAACATCACAACCTACCTTCAAGTCATACCATTTCAAGTATTATATATAAACCTTACCATAATATACTTCCATTTTTCCCATCCAGACCTTTTGGCTACTGTTATTTTATATTTTACTTACTCATACGTTATAAGCCCCACAACACATTATTTTTATTTAAACAATTAATTGTTGGGACGCCTGCATGGCTCAGTGGTTGAGCATCTGCCTTCAGCTTGGGTCATGATCCCGGGGTCCTGGG